ATAACTTCAGAATGTTTTTCCAGGGGAATAAACCCTTGGAAGTAACTCTCATGCCAAGGTAATCCACTTCCTGAGATGCAAATACACATTTATCAGGATTGATACTGAGCCTGTGGAGCTGGAGACAGTCAAAAATCTGGCAGACATGGCTTGGATGAGATTCTGCATCAGGACTGGCAATCAGGATGTTATCAATGTAGATGAAACAGTGAGGAATATCCCCTAGAATCTGATCCATCATTCTTTGAAAGGTGCATCCAGCATTTCTCAAACCAAATGGCATCTGGATCCACTCGAACAGGCCAAAAGGAGTAATAACCACTGTCTTTGGAATATCACCTTTGCTGATCGAAACTTGGTAATACCCTTTGGTCAAATCTAGCTGGGTGAAATTCTTGCAACCATTGAGATGGGAAGTAAAATCAGCAATGTTCGGAAGAGGATACCTATCCTGAACAGTCTCAGTATTTAAACGGCGGTAATCGCCGCAAGAGGACTGGCCCAAGGGGAACTAGAATGTTGAATAACTTCTGCAGCCTCCATAGCATCAAATTCCTTGCTTGCAACCAGGAACTTGTGTGATGAAAGTTTATTCTTCAGAAATTGTAAGGGAGTTCAAAGTATGTATTTTTATCAAAGAATGTTAGAACATGGTTGAAATCAATTATCTCTGTATATGGGAACTCTGCTAGGTGTTTATAAAAACTAAAACTTCTTTTTTGTAAAAATTACAAACGAATGTATAAGACTCTTTAGGAATTTATGTTTGTGCTTTTATGGTCGACAACAGGGCCAAACTCTACAGGGCCTGATATCCTTGAAACTCACTCAAAGAATACATCTGGATAAGGCTAAGAGCTTCATAAGGTTCAGCAGGGGGGGCTCTAACCAGATCCAGAAGCCTACAGGCACTATACTGAGGAAGAACGGCATCAAAATGAGTAAACCTTGTTCTTGACAAGGTTATTCTCGAACTGAGCTTCAGCTTGTAAACCTCAGGAGAATCAGTCGAACACGTGGGAAGTTTCACAGATACTGTCGTTAAAGAAACATGGGTCAAAACGTCCTCGCTCACTGGACCTTCAGGAATCTAGTCAATCACTACTAAAAATCTTGAAATCACCAGAAACCCTACTATGGTGTTGGGTGTGGAAAACACAGGGACCCAGTCGGAACCAATTTCAGGTACGTCAGCAAGAGAGAAGAAAACCTTTTCAGCGAAAAGGAAAGCATGTCCAGGTCGCCAAAATGTAGTGACAAAGAGTGACAAGAGAAACAAACTGACTTAAGGTATATTGAATTCTAATATACAACAAAAATAAAAAGCAATAAATATAAATTGGGTTTGGTTTTCTTGGACTGGAATAGGAAGACAACTTTCCACTTATTTTTATTTGTTAAATCTTTCAACTTTACAACTAGGGTTACTCTAAACATGTTTATTGTATTTATTTATTATACAAGGAGATATAAGTTAGTTATATAAGCTCATAATTTAATTGTGTTTATAAATTGATCTTTGACCTTCATGTCTTGGAAGAAATAGACAGACAAGAATATTTTCAACGATGTAAGTTTGAACATTACAGATGTAATTTTACAGATGTAACTTACAATTTATTTTCTACAATTCGTCAGTTTTCCAATTATGCATTAGTTCACTTAATCATTCATTCATTCATTCATCCTTTCATTTGTTCATCTTTTCATTTGTCTGACACTCCCCCCATCTGTATCAGACAAAAATATACCAATCGGGTTAAGATGGGTATGTTTGGGTAGAAAATAAATCTCAAAGAAGACATTTTGGATTTGCATTAAATAATGAGTAAAATAACCCTTAACAGGCTGCAGGGGGAGGGGGGGGGTGTTTAAAACCCTGCCCCCAAGTTTTTGTCCTAGTAATCACATTTTTGCCACTATCACTGCGAAATTTTGCGACTTTTAATGAATAGAAATTTAAAGGATTTTATGTAAAAGACATTTTTTTGAATACAGGGCGGTAAAAAGTTCGGTCTGTTTGAGATAAAATCGAAAATAGCCCAGAACTATTTTGTGACTAAAGCTACAGATCTAAAAATTATAATTTTTGAAAAGTGCTTGAAACATGAAAAATGTATCACACTTTGCTATTTGTTTAAAACAAAAAAAATGTTTTTTTACATTTTTTTGACAATTTTTTTGGCATTATTTTCAACCCTCCCTAGCACCCAAACGGTTCAAGTTATCGGTCTATTTTTTTTCTATGAGCTGGCCTTGACAAATTGGGCTATTAACATGCATTTTAACCCTATACCTAGTCTCTAGGGTCTTTTACTAAGGGGGTGGGGGGCGTGGGGCGCCCCCCAGGCTATACATAGATTCAGACCCCCCAGCCTTTATAGAGTTAAAAGTTTGCCCGCACCAACTCAAAGCATTTAAAGTTTTGAAAATAAAAAAATCTAATACACAATATGCCAAAGTCAAAAGTAGAATGAAGCTCATGTCAGTTTTGCCAGCACAATTTTAAGTTCGCCAATGGCAAACATATTGATTGTGTTTTCAGGGATATACAAATACATTGCATAATGAAAAAAAAATTTAACCAAATAAAAAAAAAATTAGTCCGATAAAATTCGTTGAAATTAAAATATGTGTTTCCGATCCGGGCCCCTCTTTTCCACCTTGCCCACTCCCAAAAAATGATGGAGCAGACTATGGATTATCAATATTCAGTGTATACATTTTAAAGTTAAACAAATGTTTGATCAAAAAGTACATTCATAAAATTATAATTAAAAATTTATGAATGTACTTTTAAAATCATGAATGTAATTTTTATATCTCGAGATCGGAATTAACGGTTAGTTCCAATTAAGTTTAAAAAAGAGAATTTTCTAATGATCCAAAGTGCCAAAAAAAAATTGTTAAAGAAATCATTAACGATACAGCCGTTAACGGTCTATTTCAGTATTAATGATGCGAAGCACCTAACAAAATTCTTTGATGGTTAAAGAAATCGTTAACTGTGCAGCCCTAACGGTCTTTTGAAGTATTCACGGCGTTAACGGTTTGTCATATTGTTAACGGAACTATTAGTTGAATTATATTTATCTTTTTCTGCGGACTAAGTATATTTATCTAGATATCCACCAAATCAACATATTTTTAGCCTATTCTGAGGAGAATCCAAATTCTTTCACGGTTGGACAAACAGAAGACGACATTTAAAAACATAATAACATTTAAACAAAGTTTAATGCAATGCAGAAAAAAAACAAAATTCATCGTTTTTGAAAAATAAATCTCTTCCGTTTTCGTTTTCAGCTGTTATTTTTTTTAAAACGGCTAATCCGTTTCGTGAGCGGTTTAAAATTGACGGTTTTTCTCATTTGTTAATTGGACTCTTCTGTTAATCTTCAAAAACCTACGTGAACGGAACTTTGCCTAGCCCTATCCCGAATGAGCTATTTTGGTCTAGTATAGATTGATTTCACCCCTTGATTTTTATGTAGGAGAGGATGATATATATAGGGTTGTTAATTGTTTTTGTAAACGATCGTTAAACGATCGTTTTTTGTTTCATTTTCAAAAACGATTGTTTCGTTTCCGGAAAAAAACGATCGTTTTTGAAAACGACCCACTGTTGTGGGGGAGTTAAAACTCCTTGATATTTTCTTAAAAACTACTCAATGACAAGTACAGATGCCCTTCAGGTCGGTTTCCTCTCTTCATTAACGATCGTTAACGAAGCGGTCGTTGTTAACGATCGTTAACGAAGGGTTGTCGTTAACAATCGTTAACAATGGGTTGTCGTTAGTGATCGTTAACGAAGGTTCGTCGTTAACGATCGTTAACCAAAAAACGAATTTTATAAAAACGAGAGTTTTGAAAAACGATCGTTTCAAAAACGACCATTTTTAAAAACGAACTTTTTAAAAAACGATGGTTTCTAAAAAACGATCGTTTCGTTTTCGATTATTCGTCGTCGTTTTCATAACGAAACGATTGTTTTGTTGAAAAATGAAAACGTTAACATCCCTGGATATATATTTGTAGTCTTACGTTTCAAGCTAAGGATCGAGGGCATTGAGAAGCTAAGCATGAAGAAATTTGGAGAAAAATTGGGAAAACACGTTTTTTCTGCTCTGATCTTGTTCTGGACCCTTGGAAAGAGACGTGATGATAGTCCCCCACCACGGACAATATTAGAAAGTTCAATTAATTATATATAGTATATAGTTCCCATAGTTTCCCTTTGAAAAAAATTAGAATTTTGAAAAAAATTGAAGAAAAAAATATTCGTTTTTATTTTACTATATGTAACCCCAGGGGTTCTCCGGCCAGTGTTGCTTCAAAAATGTCAAGTCATGTTGGTGGAGACGTTTGATTAGCTATGGCTGTTGTATGAAAATTTTGTCTGGTTAATAAATGCCAACAGAATATTTTTTATGTAATCCCTATTTATGTTTGTTTACAAATATAAATTGTTGATGAATGGAAATGTAAACAAACACGCCAGTTGAGTTGTGAATCCGGAGCTTAGAGGTCGGTAAAAACACGTTTACTTCTTTTATTCTTGGCGTAAAAATGAGCCTTAAAACTTTAATGAGCCAAAACTTTAATGTTTCATGTGAAAAGTCGTAAAATGTTATTATCTCTGATTTAGAATCTTTATTTCTATCTTTGTGGATTGTCGGAGATAATTGAGATTTAAAAAGTTTGATTCTCTTAAATAGAATCCTTAGAATCTTTATTTCTTGTCTTTTTAAATTGTTGAAGATGATTGAGATTTAAAAGTTTGATTCTCTTAAATAGAATCCTTAGAATCTTTATTTCTTGTTTTTTTAAATTGTTGAAGATGATTGAGATTTAAAAGTTTGATTCTCTTAAATAGAATCCTTAGAATCTTAATTTCTTGTTTTTCTTAAATTTAACATTTTTAATAATATGTTTGAGCTAGATTCAGTTTTAAGAATTACGTCTTTTACTTAAAGCTAATGATTTCTATATCTAGCGACAACTTGAAGGACTGAAACTGAAAGACAGGACATTCTGGTTTGGAGCCTGCTCTTTAATTGCATCTTTATTGCAAACCCGTCTCTTCATCTGTGGTTCTGCCTGGAAAAGTAAGCATAAACCTTTATTTAAGTTTACTTGAAATTTGCCTTTTTGGAAGTTTCCGCAACCCATGAAATTTGCCTTTTCGGAAGTTTCTGCAACTCAATTCATTTTGCAACTCATGAAATTTGCCTAACATTTACAAAAAAATTATAAATTCGGTTATGTTGATGGACAAACCTCTATATAAACGTAGATAAAGTAGAGAATTATTTTATTCAAAATATATTTCGGTCTGGGTTGACCCTCGTCAGTTCTTGAGAATTGTTCCTGTCATGAAAATTCAAAACAAATATACAAATAATAAATATGAGCTATAAGAGCTTTATTATTATAGATTGAGTGTGGTATATGTTTTAATATATACCTATTTTGTAAGAGGAGTTCAAAAAACACAAATTAGCCTGGTGTTGTAAGCTTTATTAATTCAGGGCCCCCTGTAATTAAGATGAGTCTTTGCCACAAACTCTAATTTTCTAATCCCTAAAACTTTGCAACCCGATGTTGTAGACCTTAAATATTTTACAGAGAACAACTCAACAGACAAAAGAACTTTTCTATTGGCCCTACTGGCGGGCCGATACCGCAGTCTTTGTGACAGAGTGTGCAGGATGCTTACACAGAGGAAAGGTAAATTTAAAGCATGTAGACCCGTTTGAGGGCCACGTGATTAATATCAAGAGGTTGTATGCGTTGATCTCGTCGGACCAATCTCAATGTCTACCAATACAAATCGTTTCATTCTTAGTATGATGGATCAATTTTCTAGGTTTGTAGCTGCAGTGCCTCTTCCAGACAAATTAGCAAGATCCGTTGCTACCTAGATTATGAACAACTGGATGCTTGTACAGAAACTGGATGAGCTTGTACGGAAACTGGATGCTTGTACGGAAACTGGATGAGCTTGTACGGAAACTGGATGCTTTTACGGAAACTGGATGAGCTTTTACGGAAACTGGATGCTTGTACGGAAACTGGATGCTTGTACGGAAACTGGATGCTTGTACGGAAACTGGATGCTTGTACGGAAAATAGATGCTTGTACGGAAACTGGATGCTTGTACGGAAACTGGATGAGCTTTTACGGAAATCCTGCAACACTTAGGATGGATCAAGGACAAGAGTTTGATAATTTAACATTAAAAAATCTTAATTTCTTAAGCATTAATGTCAAGGTTGGCTTTAGTCACAATCATCAATCCAATGCAGTTGAAAGATTTCACAAAACTTTTTGGGCATTATTGAGAGCAAAGAAAAGCAATGGAGAAAATTATTTGGAAAAATGTTTACCAACCTTGATATTAGCATTATTCGACAAATTCAAGCCCAGCCAGAATTTTCTTGTGAAGTCGAGAACTTAACCTCCCACACTTGTCTTTGCTGCCTAAATTCAAACAAAATGAACCCCCCCCCCCCCTCTCATTCCGTTGAAGAAGACCTTGAGTTCATTGTCGATCTTGTGAGAAAGTCTGATGCTGTTAGAATAAGAAGACAATTTTGTACATATGAATATGGGCGATAAGGTTTACTGCACGTGAATTTAACGGATCTGTCAATATTCCAGAAAGCTGTGACTTTCGATCACAATTTGACCCATTAAACATAATTTGTTAGCCTTTTTTTCAAGTACTTTTTTGTTGGCATATGTATTTTGAATGAAAATGTATAAAATAAACAAATCCGTAAAGTAAATAATTATTGAATTAAAGACCAAAACACGTTTGATTTCAAATAGAAGAAACCGAGTGCTGCTCACTCTGCTTAGTCCGGTGTGACTGTGCTGCACTCCCGCCCCAGGGGAATTCCAGGCAGACTACAAATATTGATAATAGACTACAAATAAAGACAATAGACTACAAATATAGATAATAGACTACAAATATAGATAATAGACTA